CAAGCCGCAAGATAAAGCCGACCTCTTGGCAAATCTGTTTGCGGCTAACTCCTGTCTCGACGACTGTAACGCACAGCCACCAACTCTACCTCACTGTGGCTACACGATGTCTGATATTCGTATCATACAATGCGATGTGTCTCAGCAGTCTCTCGACGTCCGGAAAGCTAGTGGTCCTGATGGTATCCCAGCGATTGTACTTAGGAGCTGCGCAGCTGAGTTGACCCCCGTGCTAACGCGACTGTATCGTCTGTCACTCTCTTCAGGTCGTGTGCCGGACTCTTGGAGAGAGGCTAATGTGCAACCAGTTCCCAAAAAAGGCGACCGATCAGACCCGCATAATTACCGTCCCATAGCCATTACTTCCATAATATGCAAGGTTTTAGAGCGGATCCTTAACAAACAACTGACCCAATACCTAGAAGATCACTCCATAATTAATGATCGGCAGTATGGGTTTCGTCCGAAACGATCAACGGGTGACCTTCTAGCGTACTTATCGCATATTTGGGGTGAGGCTATAGACAAACGTGGCGAGTCGTTGGCTGTTAGCCTCGATATAGCCAAAGCGTTCGATCGGGTCTGGCACAAAGCTCTTCTCTCCAAGCTCCCGGCGTACGGTTTGCCAGCCCAGTTATGCAGCTGGATTGCCGATTTCCTTCGTGAGCGGAGAATTCGCGTCGTTTCTGACGGCAGCATTTCGAGGTTCGTGAATGTGAACGCCGGCGTACCGCAGGGATCCGTCCTATCTCCCACGCTTTTCCTTCTGCATATCAATGATATGCTTCCACTTGGGAATATTCATTGTTATGCAGATGATAGCACTGTTCATGGGGGATATCACGGGTTCCCCGCAGCTGGGCGCGCCGATACTGACAGAGAGCGATCTAATCTTGTCGGTGAGCTCAATAGGATATTGGACCTCATCTCTGCATGGGGATCTAGAAATCTTGTTGAGTTCGACGCCAAGAAAACACAGATTTGCGCGTTAACAACAAAATTGTCGCCGTTCCTTTCCATGCCTTCTCTGATGAGCACAGCACTCTCACCTCAGAGCAGTTTTACCTTGCTCGGTATGGCAATCTGCTGTGATTTCAATCCAAGGAGCTACATCGAATCTGTGATCAAAACAGCCTCACGGAAACTCGGAGTCCTGAACAAGGTGCGACGTTTTTTCACGCCGGACCAGTTATGCCTGCTGTACAAAACACAGGTCCGGTCTTGCGTTGAGTATTGTTCGCACTTGTGGGACGGCTCCGCCAAGTACCTACTCGATGCCTTGGATAAATTACAGCGTCGTGCTACTCGAATTATAGGCGACGAAGAGGTCTCATCACGCCTTGAACCTCTGCAACTGCGTAGAGATGTTGCATCGCTTAGCGCCTTTTACCGCATGTACCATGGTGAGTGCTCTGAAGAGCTGTTCAACCTCATCCCCCCTTCCCCGTTCCTGCTCAGAAGCACGCGTGCTAGCCTTCGTAGTCACCGTTTCACTACCTGCCGCATTCCATCGCGTACTAAAAGGTTTGTTGGCTCCTTTCTCTGCCGCACGGTTGACAAATGGAACTCCCTTCCGGCACATGTCTTCCCTCCCTCTTATGATATGGGGTCCTTCAAACGAGGCGTGAAGAGGCATATTGTAGGCAGGCAGGGTGGAGGTGGCTAGTGCAGTGAGGGTTTCATCGCTGCACTAGGTTCCTTCACGTTTGGATACCACTTTCCACTTAACATCAGGTGGAGTGGAGTCATTTGCCTGTCATGTATAAAAAAAAATAAGAAAAAAAAGTAGATACCTTTGAATTGTTTATCACAACATTCTAATGACGGTTATATTGACGTGTAGAGAATCAAATTTTACGTTCAACAATAGTATAATCTCGATTTTCAAATATTTTGAGTTACAACACTATTGTAATAGCAATGCGATACATAAGTACTTCGTATTACAGATGACTATTGTATGTCGCTCGCCTTGTGACATAAGTTGACAAGTCCCATGTACCTGTAATTTAACCAGCACTCATTGAGATCACATTACTGCTTGGCGGCAGAATTAGGTAAGATGGCAGTACTTCCTTGGACGAACTCTTTCACAAGGTGCTCCACTGCTACTAAAACTTCTTGTGTCATTAGTTCATAACTTGACATGTTCTAACCATGTTAAGTTTTGAACTAATGAAACGCCTGACTATTTTATCCAACTAATTATGTCGTGCTACTAAATTTAGTAGCACGACACTTGCAACACGAGGTATGTAATAATGTGCTAGCTAACCACTCCAATTGCCTGGTCTCAAATTAGGGAATTCCCTGCACTCTGAGTACCAGAACAATCGAATTCACTTTGGGGCACTTCGCATAATACCCAGACCGGAACCAATTTAGAAAAGTTAAGTTCCCACATTGGTTCTACCGGAATGAAACATAATTAAAATTCTAACATGGATTACATGACGGTCGAGCGGTTGGAGTCCCGCCATTTAATTCGTTTGTGGTGAAGTGCCGACCGAATAACTGTTGACCTATATGAAGGAGGAGTTTTGGCCGAAGGGAGTCGTATATCGGGGGTTTTGTGGCTGGTTACTTGACACCAGATTGCGCTACACGTCGCCGACAAGTGCAATTCGTGTAGAAGTTACAACGAGTATATAACCAGAAATAGAGACGAAATGTCATTTAATTTGTTTGAAAACTATTCTGCCACATCATTACAGTGACAACTGCGCTCCGATTGGCCAGCCCGAATTCGAAACAATTGACGGGTGTCGTCAATCGGTGTCGTCAACTGTTTCACTTCAAAACGACCATTTAACTTGAGCTTTGCTATAATGGACGATAATTGCAAAATTACATATTTAATATTTAATTACCGATGAAACGTGATTCCATTTGTTTTGTAATTAAATGTTTTGCTGTTTGTCCCACACCACCGAATAGAACATTATGGCATTGTTAGAGATATTATCTTTATTACAATAAATACAGAATATTTTTTGGAATATACGGAGACGTACACACAGGTCACTAGTTGGCCTGTCTATATTTCAGTGCAAACGAGGGTTGATATGTATAAGAGCTGTATCGCTAATGTGTTACCAGGAATATATGGCCCTTATTTCGTCTCTATTTCTGTTTATATACTCGATGAGAAGTTATTTACTTGTTATATTTTATGTATGTAAGTTCATAAGATATATTATATTGCACGGTCCATAGTTCTCTGATTCAAATTAATAAATAAAACAAAAATGTAAATCTCTAGTTGTCTGTCTTTTGTTGACTCACTGACCAATGTAACATGTATGTTTTGTTATAAATTTGTTTTTATTATTCCATTGTATATCAAAGTAATTTTGATATAAGTACTTAATTTAATTAAAGAACATGTTGTGTTTGATTGCATGACATATGTATTATCTGTAATTTCAGCTCAAACTGGGCATGGCTAATTAATATGATTGTTTTTTATCCTGCGCAGATTACAGTCTATAAACAAAAATAATAGGTAAACGTTTACAAAAATAAGCTCGCGTGTTGCAAGCCTACATAAAAAAAAATACTCACCAATGATGACTCCCAGAGAATGACCAATATATGCAAACTTCTTCCATTTAAAATGTTCCTGTACATAATGTATGGTAGGAACAAAATCGACCACAGTAAATCTGCCCTCTGGTGGAAAATGATCCGAATGACCATTGCCTGGCAAGTCTACGCTTACGTAGAAGAAAGAAGGAGGCAATAATGACACTAGAGGCCGGAATCCAGACGAAGTGTCCATTTTACCATGGCATAAGATAATTGGAGGGTTTGAATGGTCACCCCACGTGAGCGCTGCAATTCAAAATACCTTTAATTTTATCGTCTATTTTGAAGAAACGTGTTCAGTGAGAACGCTGGATAATAAAAATATTATTTAAAATATATGATGTCCCTTACCACAGACGAGACGATTTTATTTAGGTACCTACACTGAAAAGGCATGATGTTATGTGATTTGATTTAATTATTTTTTATTGAAAAATATACGTTGCATAGAAAACTAACAACGTTTTGCATTTTACATAGTACAAGTAGGAAAATTTGTTACTAACCTGCTATTTTACCCCATGGCGCATTTATAAATATTTCTTTTTCACTTCTCAGTAGCGTTGATGCCATTTTTCTAAAATTATGGGAACTAATTATTTCCGTGACATTACTTTTATAACATTTTTGTCTATATGCGTGTATCCGAGCAAAGAACTGTTATCCAAGGCCGAACAAATATTACTGTATTAGTTTTATTGATAAAATTAAAGTGGAAATATACTTTAGTTTAATGCTATTTTACTATAAATTCGTAATGCATTCGTACAATATCTACCTACCTTTTTCTAAAACAAAATTCTAGCACAAAATTTTAGAACTTAGAATTCTTGTTGCACTTTACTATTTTAAGGTTGGCCTCATCATAGATTTAGTATATTTGACTCAACAATGTTGTAGTAGAAAGTTCCTACTGTCTAATCTGTGTGTGTGTATCTTTTATATATGAAACTACGTCACTAACTTCAAGCTGCGAAAGGATTACTTTAAATGAACTTAACATTTCAAGATAACTTCGCACTCCAGTGTATTTGCTTCAATTGTTTTACGAAATATAATTATTTTTTAATATCGGTACGTACCTACAACACATTCTGTTTCATTCACTCACATATGAATATGATAAATATAATGTTGATAGTTTCATTTTCAAGTGCGAATGTTATCTTGGAAAATAACCTTAAGCCTTTTATTTACTTTTAGATAGGTATAGGCTTAGAATAATAACGCATAGAAACCTAGCCCGCACACGCTAAGTGAGGCAAGTTAGAGGGTTCCAAACGCGTCCCAGGAGCGCGCGGGCTGTTAGTGCTCAAGGTCATATTGCACCGCGAACAGCTCCAAAATTTTTTGCTAAAAATGACGAAATGTGCGGTAAATGGGTGTAAAAATACAACAGACAAACATAAAATAGACACTAACATCGCATTCCACAAGTAAGTAATGCGTTTCAACTCATATTTTTATGTAAATATTCACTAAAACAGAAAAATAATTTCGCGGCAACAAGATACGAAAGTGTTGCAAAGTAACGAATTTTTTTTCTCCCCATTTTGCTATTCTGTATCAAAATAATTATATTACGTAAATTTTAGTGGTGCCTGTAATTTAGATTTATTTGCGCATCTTGAACTAATATTTACTTTAATAAACATTAAATGTTTTCGTTAACTCCTGTAAGTGATTGGGACACTTAATTATTTTATAATACTTCTAACGGCTCTGCGTTCATGCTTTATTGAATAATTATTTATTTTAATTTTATTTGAATTGGAGCACATATTGCAACAAATTTACAGTACTTATATATTTGTTTCTACTATAGTGTTGGCACCACCAGTACAACTTTGATAGCTTATTATATGTCTTTCTTTTCGTAACTCAAGCGAAATATTTTATATTAAAATATTTTATTTTCTTAAAAGGGGAGCATTCTTAAGCGATTTTTTAATCTATTTTAACAGTTATTTTCTTTAATGTTTGCTTATGGCATTTTCGGTTTTAGGTTTCGAATATGGCACTTATTTCTAAATCCAAGATGGCGGACTCGAGTTTTCAAATAAATGCAATATGGGTATCATTTTCGAGGTGTTTGGGAATGTTCAATACAAATATGGGACTCATTTCTAAATCCAAGATGGCAAACACGACAGTTCAAACAAAAGCAATATTCGTAATGAGCACTCCCAAATACCTCGAAAACGATACCCAACTTGCCATTATTTGAAAAATCGTGCCCGCCATCTTGGATTTACAAATGAGTGCCATATTCGTAATGAGCACCCCCAAGTACCTCGAAAATGATACCCATATTGCATTTTTTTGAAAAATCGTGCCCGCCATCTTGGATGTAGAAATGAGTGCCATATTCGTCATGAGCATCCCCAAGTACCTCGAAAATGATACCCATATTGCATTTATTTCAAAACTCGTGTCCGCCATCTTGGATTTAGAAATGAGTGCCATATTCGTAATGAGCATCCCCAAATACCTCGAAAAGGATACCCATATAGCATATTTTGAAAAATCGTGTCCGCCATCTTGGATTTACAAATAAGTGCTATATTCGTTTTTCATCGACAAAACCGAGCACATCTGTAGGCACCTGATCGACAATGTCGGGCAAATCTGTAGGCACCTTTAACTTAATGATGAGTTAAGCAAGATACAATTTCCCCACTTTTGAGGGAAATGTTATTCCATGGCATCATTATTTGTATATTTGTGTGCGTGCCGACGAGCGTAGTTACAAGTTGCTTACGCCTACATGAATTTGGTTTTTGCCTCACTTGTGACAGTTCGTTTGATATGAAACTATCATTCTATGCGTTATTATTCTAAGGGTATAGGGATATGTTTAAATTATTTGGACAAAAAATTTAACATAAACGGGCGGAAGTCCCTCTGGGCAGAAACGAGTTGGATTATTTAGGTTAATTTAGGTTTTTTTATACAAACACGGAAGTCCCTCTGGGCAGAAACGAATTGGATAGACATACCTAGGTTAAGTTTTTTTTTATACAAACGCGGAAGTCTTTCTGGGCACAAACGAATTGGATCGATATAGGTAGATATATTGGAGCCCGTGTGCACTAAACGTCAAAATATATGATTTTGAGGTTATTTTTCACAATATTTTTCTCGAAAACTATTAATATTCGCCTACCCCTCATTCCCACATTTTTTACTCATTTTTCCGTGCATTTGGTGCGAAAGTATATAATTTTGAGGTTATTTTTTTCGAATTTTAAAAAATTAATATCTCGAAAACTATCAACGTCCTAACTTTGAAATTTTGCAGGGGTGATCTCCTCCCCTCGCCCTAACCCCCTCGTCACCCCTCAACCTCCATCTGACGTCACGTTTAGTAAATTCTTTCCTAATAAATTTCTATATTAATTTAAATAAATTTTATATATATATATATATATATATAGCAATATTTATCTTTTTGTAAAACACGATAAACTCGTTTAACGAAATTGTTATTTTATAGTCAAATTACTTTGTAGCTAACTGTCACTGTTGCTAGTTGTTGTTATTTTTCTTGATTTTTAGGGATTTTATGGCTTGGGCGAATATCGACTACTTACTTAACATACCACGGATTTATGTGGTCTGTGTAACATACATAAATTGGCGAATTAACTTCACAAAAGTCTGACAACACTGAATACAAACATGATCTGTGGATACAAACGACATTAATGACGAATACCTCGAGACCACAAACTAAACAAACAGACGGACAGACATGTCGAGCCTATAATGGGCCCTTCGTTTGGCTACAGAACACCAAACATAATATTGCATAATCATACTGAATGACGTTAGACCAAACAGATTTATTACAGACCAAAGTACAGAATAGATAAAATTAACACTTTGCTTCGTCATTTATATATGTCAATAAATTGGTTACACTAAAAAATATATTACAGTATATTTTGTAGATACCAGCAACGGTTTTACATTATGTAAAATGAAACTGTGAAATATAACCTGTGTATGGTGACTTAAAACCCATAGAATACTTCGATCAAAGAGTACCTTGTTACATGCACTTGGATGTTGCCGGTTATGATTTCCAACAGTGTAATAAAAACAGTAATTGAAAAAAAACTTAAATTAATACAGAAATAACTAAATAAAATTGACTATTTACTATTATATACTCTAAATACCGACTGCCAAAACACATAATAGGTGTATCCAAACGACTAACCTTTGATATGTCAAACTGTATGATAAAATAAGTAGGTAATCTTGTAGTGCTATGCGATTAAGAGATCTATCACTATCTATATAGAGATAGTCCAAGTTCAATGATAATTTATATTCAGTTTTCAACAAGTTTAGATTCGGAATATTTTAATTTTATTCTTTAAAACACTGTAATACGAATGAAGGAATATTTCAAGTATAATTAAGTCTTAAATAAAGTTGAAATAATGTCTTTACAAGAAAAGGAATGGTTTATGGAAGCACCATGGGGTAGGATGTGCAGTAAGTACAATTTTATTTTATTTTATATACTCTACTGCGGGTCACGGGACTTTTTACTAAAGTTTATAATGAAAGTGCAGCACTCGAGCACAATACGAGGAAATAAATCATCATTTCATGTAATCCATAAAAATAAAAAATGGAGTTCAAATAAATTTACACTTCCAAACTTCTGAACAATAATTTTTTATTGATCTGATATGATGAAATAGGATTAACATTTTACTTAAGCAATGAATTAAAAATGAAGTACATGAGCGGGTCAGGACCGAGCAAGGCAAACTTACCATGGCCAAATCATGGATGTCCTAAAGAAAGGCCAGGTTAATAGTGACTTTGACTGACAAGCATGTAAGGAAGCCTTGATGTGTGTTGATAAGGCAAAAGGTGAGTGTCAGGATCGTAGCAAGTGCAATTTTGTGGTCTCTACGTACCCCTGTGGGAGAAGGGTGTATACATATATGAATGTACAGTCAATAGCATAGTTTACACGGACAGCCATAAAATTTTAAGTTCTTACCTAGTTATTACTTAAGGTAGGTTACTGCTTGGTGTACACTCCGCTTATCTGCCATCCACTAACTAAAACGTGGCTAATTGGCAAATGATCAAATATCCATTTCAAATAGCAAAAGATAGAGCACATAATTCTCTTTTAAGAATAGATAAATTTAGTTACCGTAGTAGGCTTATTGGAAGTTACTCTAACGATGCAAAGCTCAATTATTATTAAACAATTTCAATATTCTGAAACTGGGTTATGGTTTTTTTATGATATATCAATAAATTATATTGTCATTTAGCCGTGGTTAGATTGCAGATGGTAGATATATGCTTGGTGCAGCGAGCAAACAGCTAGCTAGCTGCAGGTAAAGACTGAAAATCAGCACTGTTGAGTCTTTAACCTTTTTGTCCACATCACTCAATTGTATTTTTCTATTCGTTAAGTATTCTGTTTTGTGGAGAAATAAACCTTTTTATTTTGTTTAATTTTTATTTATCAAGTTTGAATTTTGAAGGGCAAGGGTGCTGATGAAGAAAAACCACATGGGGCTTAAGAAATGACACTATTGTTCTGGATTTAAATCATGTATAATTGTTTTTTTTTAAACAAACCAACGTTTTGGGCCCTTTATAGGTCCCATGGTCACAGTTGATTTGACGGTTGGGAAAAAACAAATATACGTGACTTACATCCAGAAAAATAGTTTCGTTTAACAATCGCGAAAACCTAAGAACTTCACACGTGGGACTTGTCAACTTATACCTCAGGGTGACGGGTGTAGAGGCAGTGCCCCTCAGAACTTTATACCTATTTGAAGTTCTGAGTGGCACTGCAACTGTTATGGACAGATGTGTCGCTTACCACCAGGCACACAACTTGTTAGTTCCCTCACTTGGTATTATAAAAAAAGCTATACACTTTGTTTGAATACCGCCTCCAGTGCAATGGAACAATATTAGTCAAAATGTAGCTTGATGTGCTACTGTCTGTACATTAAATGAATTCTTCCCGCTATTTCTAAAATGTTGGATAAGTTAGACTCCCTGGTCTCCCAGTCAGTCCAATTTGTATCATTTTAAACTTCTAGATCATATAAGTTTTACTCCAGTCTTGAAAAGTAAGCATATAAGTTTTACCCCACTCAGTCTTCTAAAAGAACTATTATTATTAATACAAAGATCCGCTCTACCAACATAGACTCAGGTTTCAGTCATGTCAGCTCGAAGGATTGTTTCTTTATATCAGTGGCAAGGGGTACAAATAAGTTGATTTCTTCCGGCTTGCTTAAAATTTTCAACGTGTTATCAAATACTACGTTTTGTGCTAAAGTTTATGTGTACAATAAGTTGATAAGTGAAATGAAGTATACTAGTATGTTGTTTGCTAATAAGTTGTGGTTAAGTATCGCCAATTTTTTTATTCATCACTACTTTTTCTTACGTTTGGTGTTTTTTGTTTAGCTCCGGCTTTACTAACGACAATTTTCACACCTAGCCACTGCTTTGTATTAATAATTATAACAAACTATGTTAGTGAAGTGATTAAAGGTCGTATTCTAGAACTCTACTCAATGCTCAAGTCAGGACTTGAGTATGATTTGTTATTTGTTTGTTATTTGTTATTTGTTATTTATTGAATATAGCACAAGGTAGAATTGATTGTCCTGAGCTCCTCAGCAAGGTTGAATTTAAAATTCCAGTTAGGAAATTGCGTAGGCGGGAGTTGCTCCATGTTCCAATTAGTCGAACTAATTATAGAAAAAATAGTTATTTGCCAAGAACGTTAGCACTATTCAACGTACTCAATGATGACCTCAACATGGATTTATTCTGCGACAGCGTTCTGGAAGTCAAATCTATGTTGACCCAAAAGTTCATTTCTAATTTGTAATGTGAATTTGAAATTAGATGTGTCTTAAGTTAGTTAGCATAGTTGATTTGAAAGTAGTTTAGTTTATAATTTTTCTGTATATATGTGGAAGCTTTTAATTGGCATTTCTTTGCATACTTAGATATGTAATTTGTAAAAGTAGCTGTAAGCTCCCCAAATAAAATAAAATAAATAAAATAAAATAAAATGATTAAAAGCACTAGAAATCATTCTCAAGTCCTTGCCATTAGGGTCGTATTTCCAGTGCTTGAAATCATACTCAAGTCTGCTCAAGTCCTGACTTGAGCATTGAGTAGAGTTCTGGAATACGACTCTTATTGTGTCCGACATTTCACAGTTCTTAATTATTCAGGTATTCATACACTATCTATATGTGTGTGTTATTTGGAGCTGAGATAAATGTTGCTATGCTATTCCGATCTTTGATGATTATTTTAAACTTAAGATACTTTTAGGTACTCTTTCTATTTTTATGCTAGTCTAGCACCAAATCGAGGATATCTAATATTTTTATGTTATGCATTGAAATCAATACAGCCGCTGAACGAAAAGCCAACTTTCGGAAAACGGTCATTGGTAAGTTTACATTTAGGAATATGAGATTTTCATTTAGTGACCGTATTGGTTTCAATGTGCTATACTCATATAATATTGTTTTGTAATCTGAGGTGCTATATTATAATTTTAATCAATTAATTCTATAGCTCTTCACTGCGCACTTGTTATTGTATTTGTCTATTTCACTGTTGGATTGTCTCGTTAAATTCCAGTTGTAGCCTGGGGCGACTGCTCGGATCCACCTGTTCTAGTTGTTCACGGCCACCTGGATTCTGCTGCTAGCTTCCGGCCTCTGCTGAAACTATTGCCGCGGAAGTTTTATTACATTGGTGAGTAATAAGAACTAAAATTGGACCCTAATGGCATAAGAGTAAAGTTGTGGTACCAAAGGGTTCTATAAAAAGGAAGAAAGCGAGGCAATACAGAAGATAACAAGGTTTTTTTAGGATAGCAAGATAGGATGAACAATTGAACATTTTAGAAGCAGTTGAGTTCCTTGTGAAAGAGTTCGTCCAGGGACGTACTGCCACCTCATCTATTTCTTCCGCCAAGCAGTAATGTGAGCATTACTGCGTTCCAGTTTTGCCGTGTAAAGGTGTTGGTGAAATTACAAGTGCATGGAAACGGGACTTGTCAATTCACGTCTCAGGGTGACGTGCGCAGTGGCAGTGCCCCTCAGAGCTTTGTGATCTAAACCTCTGAGTGGCACTACAACTGTCATGGACAAGCATGTGGCTTACCACCAAGCACTCGACTTGTTCGTCCCGTCACTTGTTGTTATTAAAAAAAATTGATACCGGTAACCTAAAAAAATGTAAATTATCATGAATCCGCATATATTGTGTTCAATTCTGCATATAATGGTTAAATAATGTTATCAGAAATTTTCAGGTAACTACATAAGTTATGTACAAAATTGAGTTATGTAACATAACTCAATTTTGTTGACAATTTTTATTATTTAATTACTCGAATATATCCTCGTGAAATATTAAAGAATATTTCGGGTTACCACACTCGAATATTAAATAATACTTCATGGTGATATTCTATAAATATTTAAATAAAAAGACATTGTCACCAAAATTGAGTATAAAAAACTTACCTGAAAATTGCCCATACCTCAGACAAAATTGACATCTTTCACGACTCTATAAAGTTGAATCGGAATGTGATAACTGCTTTAACATTAGCAGTGGCGCGGCTGTAACGCCACAGTGGCGCCACCGCTTCTATAAGCGTCTAATTTGTAGGCACCTTAAGGGTAGAATTTTAGGACTTTTGTTTGATAATCTTTAGTAGTTTTTCCCCCTCCTTGTACCTATCCTTTAATATTGTATTACTTTAATACTATATAAATTAAATAATAATAATCGTTTATAATAATCGTTTATTTTCTCCCATCATGTACATAATATAGGTTGAAGTGATACAGAATATCTGAATATCAGAATATCTTGATGTTACATTTCGTAATTGCTGTAAACACTTGTAATGGCAGAACATACCTACTGTATAAAAACTCATACGTCAATACCATTTCTCTAAATAAATAAAAAAAAAACAAAAAAGTAATTTTTTTTTTCGTTTTTCGACCGTTTTATCTAAAAAACAATGTTTTTAATTTTTTTTGTACAGGTCTGGAATTGCCCGGCCACGGAAAATCAGATCCGTACCCACCAGGACTGATGATTAACGTGTTAGATTTCGTGTACCCCATCGAGATCGTCCGGAGACATTTCCGTTGGGAAACTTTTGTGTATATTGCACATTCCGTTTCTACCACTATTGGTAAGACATTTTCTGAGAGATATTAAGGGTGAATTTATTCGACCCAAATTTCATCGCGCTCACCTCGCCTAGCGGAGTCCGCGTTGCCGCCGCGTAGCGACCGCGTGCGTCTAACTGTCATGGCAAAATACGCTCTATTTATTTAGCATTTACGTTTTAACTTAAATGAGCGTCTCGGGGACGCGAGCGAACCTGCCTTGCATTTGGACCCCCCGCGCGGTTGTATTATTCAGAGAAATTTAAATGTTGTTGCCTAGTAAATAGAATTCAGATTCGGCATTAATGTATATGAAGGCGTGATAACTGGGGTTCGCCGCGCGAATACTTTCTCCTCGTGTTATTGGGCGCTAAAGGTGCGCTCCAAATTGGTGCAATGAGGCGCGCAGCGTTAAAATAAACAATGCAACATACAATTTACCTGACACAAGATTTTGTCTCATTTTTTTAAACAAGAAATTAAAAAAAATTGCGGTAAGCCTCGCCGTGTGTCACCTTCCATAACTAACGTAACCCACATTTCCAGCGAAATTGATTTATTATTAACATATCTAAGATAAACGACACGAGATTTACAACCTTTTAGCTTTTAGGTTCTCGCGATTGTTAGACATAGGAAATGAAACTATTTTTCCGGATTTAAATTACCAACAGGCGAAGGAAGACCTGCCATTTTACCTTACGTGAGAGGTGTCACAGACAAGATCGAAAGAGTCCTCAGGCGTGCGTCTATCAAGACCCTGAGAACCAACGTCTTCTAGCATACCGTGCCAGACGCTATACCAACTAAGTCACGGTACGAACAAGCGGATCTCACCAATTTTTCTTTTTCGAATTTCGAAATATCATACATTTCTCATAGATGGCGCTACGGCTAAAAAGTCGTTAAAAAACCAAACACAAAGATACTAGATATATAGAGTTCGTTCCGTGGCTTCGTTGGTATAGTGTCTGCCACGGTATGTTAGAAGACGTCGGTTCGAATCCGGCCGGATCGAAGGAATTTTTTCTGGTGTTCGATCTTTGTATTAATAATTATAACAAACGAGAAAATATTGTTTAAAGCAATGAAATTAAACAAAAAATATACTTTTCACTTGCGGTAACTTCATACCTTATCTACCTCGGAAAAAAAAATAGTGACACAAGTTACAATGGCGTAAAGCCTGGTAAATGCTGACTCTCACCTATGGCGAATTAGCTTATTATTTAGATTTGTTTAAAAGTCTTTGATTGCAATAATAAATTCTTTTTAAAAACGACCTTTTCCGCCGTCATTACATAAAGTCACAACGCCATTTTTTTACTATAATAGCAGAATGAATTCACTGTATGGGGGCAATATAATGGTTTTTATTTTACGTGCAGGTAGATTCTACCAGCTGGCATATCCAAACCGCATGTCCAAAGTAGTGGAGATTGACCAAATTTGGCCTAAAACAATAGACCCAGAGGACTTTGCAAATTGGTAAGGTATTCTAGCGAAACGAATAATAACTTATTTGACTGATTGTTAATTTGGTATTTAGTAGCAGTAGAGCCAAGAGCTCCCTGTGAGAGAGTTCATCCCCGGAAGTGCTGCCACTTTAACTATTTCTGCCGCCAAGCAGTAATGTGAGAATTGCTGCGTTCCGCCCTTGGACGCCACGGTTTTCACCAAGGCTCCGAATAGAGAGAAGAGAATAGAGAGTCGGCTCGCTTGTCCAATCGCCCCTAGATCAGTGAGACAGTGCAATGCGGGCAAGGGATCCCAGTCCCCTGCCCACTGATATGCCTGTACCAATACAGTTAAAGTGTCACTGCGCCCGTCACCCTGAGACATAAGTTGACAAGTCCCATGTGCCTGTAATTTCACCAGCAACATTACCCTTCCAAACCGGAACGCAGTAATGCCCAGATTACTGTTTGGTAGCAGTACTTCCCTGGACGAACTCTTTTACAAGGAGCTCTACTGCTACTTAAATATCCGTGTCTCTACACATGCATGTCCATAACAGTTGCAGTGCCACTCGAGCTTAAATTCTACAGCGTCCGTCACCCTGAGACATAAATTGACCCCTCCTACGTAAAGTATCGTATGTCGAAACTGCCAAGTTTACAGGGGAGCGTTTTAAAGTTCTATATTCACTGAAATATGCCTAAAATGTGAATTTAGCATTTCTCAGTTTTATTCAAGAACGAGTTTTAAAGTAACGGGCTTTGCCGAATATAACTGAGAAATGCTAAACTCACGTGTTATGCACATTTCAGTGAATTGAAAACTTTAAAACGCTTCCCTGTAAACTTGGCGATTTCGACATAGGATACTTTACGTAGGAAGGGTCGAAATTGATAAGTCCCATGTGCCTGTAATGTCACCAGTAGTAATTAAATAACATCTTTTAAGATCGTCTTAGTACAGCCTAAGAGCGTTTATGCACTGCATCCCGTTCGTATAGTTCCGAATCCGAGACTACACAAATCTATGTCGCTTGTGCACTAAATGAGATTCGAGTCACCTAGAGATAAAATGATCCCTGTGACATTTCGGATCGTCATTTCTCGGATTCGTAACAGCAGCTTGATTTTGATTTCCTCTCCCGTTCGGAAACTGCGTCACTTCCGAATCGAGGCGCATAATTGCGATTCAAACTTTTGACATTTCAAATCGGAACAATAGTTGTATTAACTCACAAATTAGAAAGATATAGTAGGAAACACATCTGATTTCGAGACTCGGATGGGCTAATCGATCGGATCGATTCCGATAATGAATTAAAATCAGCCTGCTGATATGAATCCGACGTAGTGCAAAAGCATCGCGAGATACTACTATTCTCGTAGAGACATCTCGCGCTTTATGTCACTCTTGTGTCTTAGCTACTACTGGACGCACTCTTTCACAAGGAGCTCTACTGCTACTTTTAATTTGAAAAGATTGTTCATACCACTCTATTTATTTTGTCACACAGGTACGATAAGTCCTTCACGTCGTATTTTAAGAGATATGATCATTACAACATGTCCAAGGAAAAACGCCCTACCCATACTTGGCAGGAGGTAAGTTCTCGAACCGTGAGAAGCACAGACCGATACGTCATATCGCACCCTCAAAATTAAAATGGCGCAATTTTAAAAGCAATGTTTTTGGGAAATTTGCATTTTATTTAAAAAAATAAGAAATTTGTTCTAACAAAACAGTTTACTTTGTGCTGGCCGTAATTTGCTGTTTTTGAACACATCATAGAGGGTTTATGGTATGTGTGTAAATAAATAGTTTAAAAGTGACGATGGGACTGTAATTAATAAAAATGGAGGTAAATTACTTTGTCGCTTCGCCAACCCAGCGAATGTTAAAATTAATAACACAAACGTAATTACAGTTGCATACACTGTGTGTGTAACTGTAGTTGGTGACTCACCACTACCAAAAAAATATATATCCGACATGTGTTTCGCCTTTCTACTATAATGTGTATTTTCTTTATGCAGGCAATAGAAAAGCTTTGTAAAAACAGAAATTTAACACCGGAGACTGCGCGTGCGACACTCGAGCGGTTTTCGGAGCCTGCAGACGAGAGGAATCACCTTATCAGGTAATCCACATTATTATCATCCACCAACACTCTATGTCCTCCTCCAAGACAACCGCATATCTGAATCCACCACCACTATATCAAATTCAATGAATGACATACTCTTTATTGCGCAAAAAGTTACAGTGGAACAGTCACATAGGTATAAAAAATACCAAAGTGCAAAAGGAGGCCTTATTGCTTGCTATGTAGCAAATTGCAATATTATTCCGCATCTTTTATCGGATATAATATACCAATCATATTATGCTATGAATTGATAATATATGTACATGTCCAATATGCCACAACACAACCGCATGTGTAAGTAAGTACTTCCTGCAACAGTAGAGCAGTGAGTTTAGTAGCAGTAGAGGTCCTAGTGAAAGAGCTCGTGCAAGGAACTTCTGCCTTACCTATTTCTGCCGCCAAGCAATAATTACTGCGTTCCGGTTTTGAAGGGTGCTGGCGTTTTGAAATTACAGGCACATGGGACTAGTCAACTAATGTCTCAGGGTGACGGGTGCAGTGGCAGTGCCCCTCAGATCTTTGCGATATAAAACTCTGTGTGACACTGCAACTGTTATGGACAGGCGTGTAGCTTACCATCAGGCGCACGACTTGTTCTTCCCGTCACTTGATATTATAAAAAAAATCTGAATTATTCTATATTCATCATCATCAACACATTTAAACGTCCCACTGTTGGGCACGGGTTTCCTCTCAGGCGAATAAAAAATTGTTTAATTTCCTCAACTAAATGTATCTCAATACTATCATCTCACGTGTAAACACAACTCTTTAACTTATATCCCAGATAAATGTGGAATTTGCACTCGACCTTTGGTTGTGAGATTGAATTGAACTTCAGACGTCTAGGTTTTATTTTATATTGAAAACAATAAACAATGACGGTGTATTAAATGCTAATTGTTATATTCCTGGTAACACATTAGCGATACAGCTCTTATAAAATATCAACTCTCGTTTGCACTGAAATACAGACAGGCCAACTACTGACCTGTGTGTACGTCTCCGTATATTCCAAAAAATATTCTATATTTATTGTAATAAAGATAATATCTCTAACAATGCCATACTGTACTATTTGGTGGTGTGGGACAAACAGCAAAACATCTAATTACAAAACAAATGGAATCACGTTTCATCGGTAATTAAATATTAAATATGTAATTTTGCAATTATCGTCCATTATAGCAAAGCTCAAGTTAAATGGTCGTTTTGAAGTGAAACAGTTGACGACACCGATTGACGACACCCGTCAATTGTTTCGAATTCGGGCTGGCCAATCGGAGCGCAGTTGTCACCGTAATGATATGGCAGAATAGTTTTCAAACAAGTTAAATGACATTTCGTCTTTATTTTTGGTTAAATACTCGATGGTTCCTAACTACACTACACCCATCTCATCGATACCTCCAATGAGCTACGCCAACTTTATTTTTAGTCATTTTCTGTTATTTTTGTAAACAGCCATATTTATTTACCAATATTGTGCTCCCTGAATTTTGTGAAAAAAAAGAAAGTAAAAAGTTTTTATCGTAAAAAAAGTAAAAAAGCAAAAAACAAAATAAAAATAGAAAAGGTCCAAAAATTATGTTGGCCTAGTGTTCATTGGAGATATCGCCATAATACCTTGCCCCAACTGCCCTGAGTCATCGCCCTGAGTCTTCCAACCCAAACATTGACGGAACCGTCGTGTAAAACGACGGAGCCATGCCGTTATAAAACTTGACTTGAGAAATCTATGAAAGTTTTTTTTTCAACATTTATATTTTTCTTCCCCACAGATACACGTTCGACGAACGCACCAAACTAACAACCCGGCCTGTATTATCAACTAAACAAATAAAAAACCTTTATGCCAAAATCACTACACCCACTCTAGCTGTCATATCGAAAGGGTCTATTCAAAAGGGATTTTATCAAACTATACCTTTCTTACTCGAGGAAGAGCTAGAAAATTACAAAGTAGTAAAAGTGGAGGGACATCATGATGTCTTTATAACTAACCCAGAAAGAATGGCACCATGTATAAGTAAATTTTTGCTAACTGGCTTAGATGGAATGGAGAGCAAATCGAAATTATGATTAGTTTATGACAGTTTTGGATAAAACAATAATATATATAAATATTAAAATATAGATGTTTTTATTATTATATCGCACTGCTATTACAATAGTGTCGTAACTCAAAATATGTGAAATCCAAGATTATATCAAATCTGAACGTAAATTTGATTCATTACACGTTAATAAAACCGTTGTTAGAAACAATTGAATTTGGTACTCAAAATACTCAAATTACTCTAAATATGAAATTATTTATTTTCTTTTATTTTTAAATATATTTGGCAAATAGAAAATTGTTTACTTGTCTGTAATAAACTTCAGCGTGTACATAACACATACATAACACGTACAGCGTGTACATAGTACACTATTGTTTTAACAGTGCGGCATATATATCATATTAGTGATATATTGTACCCGCTATATCATATACTTGGTGTGCTTTTATCATATGGAAGTCGTAAAAATAATGCAAACTACACGAAACAAATTATGTATAATTATTATCTATGTCAAATTGTATAACTCTCATATTATAGACTAATTTCATTAGTAGAATCTATAAACCTTTCTCTCATGAAGTTGTAGTTTTACAGATTAGGCCTTTTTATACTAAGGGTGCAATATGTCGTCGATTTTTAGGTTTGTATAGATCAAAAGTCGATTTCGAATCAAATCCAACAATTTTCAAGGTCTGGCTCGGTCCTTTGCCAGACATCCATATATTTTTTTCATAATTAATATCGGTGTTGCTTGTAAATATCGATTCGACATCTATTGATATATTTTTATCAATTGCACATCCCTAGTTTACTTAGTAATATGATGTACGAAATGGTAACGTTGCGTTTTACTGTCTTTTTTTTTGCTTTGTCTGTTGCGTTCGCGCAGTTAGCGTTTCAGCCACCGGCAAAGTTTTTGCTACATGTAAAGGGAATTTTGAAATAGAACTAGGGGGTGGGTAAGGGGTTGATGGCGGACGCGATTTTTTCAAAAAATGGCAAGTTGGGTATCGTTTTCGAGGTATATTGAGGTGCTCATTACGAATATGGCCCTCATTTCTAAATCCAAGATGGCGGACCCGATTTTGAGTGAGTGAGTGGATGGGTTGGGCGGTGGGTTAGGGGGTGGGTGAGTGGATTTGAGGGGGTGGGTGAGCGGGTGAGTGATTTGATGATTTTTATAAAATAGCTCCGCGAAGAGACATCTACGGTAGTGATCGCATACTCCGCCAAGCCAGTAAGAAATTATTGTGCAAACTAATCCACAATGACCGTTATTAAATAAGTAATTTTGCAATTTTCGTCCAATATAGCAAAGCTCAAGTTAACTGGTCGATTTGAAGTGAAACAATTGACGAAACCCGTCAATTGTTCCGAATTCGGGCTGGCCAACCGGAGCGCAGTTGTCACAGTAATGACATGGCAGAATAGTTTTCAACAGTGAGTCGACTGCGTCTTCTACGGTAAGGCGATATCTGTTGAATGTCGCAATCGATCCTGTGTAAACACGTCATAGACACGTGCTCAAGATGTGTAGTACATAACCAAAGTAAACATTATGGCCCAAATGCACCTTAGTTTTTAGTTTATTGCACGTTGAAATCAATACCGTTACTAAACGATAATTTTTAGAAAATATTTTAAAGTAAATTTAAATTTAAAAAAGTTAGAATTTTGTCTACTGACAGTATTGGTTTCAATGTGCGATATTATTATTTTGTGCTTATTATAGGTAATTATTATTGTTGTTTTTTGAATAAAAGGAAATGGCGAAGTATAATTTTTTTTTTTTATTAATTTTTTTTTGGAATACAAGTATGTATTTTGTAATAACAATGGCAGTCCAGTTACAGAACTATCCGAAACTCCCAAACTGTTGTTTCGAGCCTATGCACATGTCGACAACGCGCGTTTACGGCGTCGTAGAGGCTCAAAAAGCAGATTGGTTCGTTTTGATGAAGAAGGAAGAAAGAAAGAATATTCATTTATTTGCACACCACACAACAAAAAAGAAAATAAAAGAAACGACACAGAAAAAAATAAACAATCAAAATTAAAAAACAAAAAGAAATAAACAACATAGTGAAACATAAAAATAAGAAAAACATACATACAAAAAAAAACTATTAAAAAACTTTCATACTTGAGACACAAATAAATAATTACGGAACAAAATCACAAACAAAACAAAAACTAAATTACAGCACAGGTTATTTAATTAAGTATGTAGATATATTAACCAGGCATCCGAGAGTAGTTATAATGTGAGGATCGGCAGACGTAGGGGGTACATAACGGATATATATTCGGAAAACCTTCTTCAGGTCCTGTTTATGATAATATGTCTAAATCTAGACATGTTTTTAAAACAAAGCTAAAATAGTATGTAAATAATATCAAAACAATAAAGATGAAATTAAAATGGATATAATTGCGGAACATCATTCTAATAAATCCTTTGCAAAATTTTGGAAAACAACCAAATAAACTGAACCACAAGTCTAGCCTCCCCGTGAGTGTAGCGGGTTTGCATGATCCTAAAGCAATAGCTAATCTATTTCAAGGCCACTTTAGGGGGTGGTTAATGCTGAGGAAAGTTCGCACGTGCATAGCGTCTCATTCTCTCCACATGAGGTGGCTTCAGTCATTAAGAAAATGGTAAGAGGGTCATGACGGTCTCAGCTTTGAGCACCTGCAACGTGCTGGATTTCACTTGTTTTTTACTCTATACCTCAGTCACAGTTATTTGCCTGACTACCTCATGCACACATTACTAGTGCCTATTGTAACAGATAAGACCGGTGATTCATCGGATCCGTCTAATTATAGGCCAATTTCTCTGGCTACCGTAATTGCTAAAATTCTGGACAGCCTGCTTGACGACTACCTGGGTAAGCATCCGAGTCTTAATGATGCGCAATTTGGTTTCAGACCAGGGCTGTCGACTGTGCAACGTTTTGATGCCAGTATGTAATCTGGCCCCGGCGCTCATCGCGCCTATATCGTACTTAGGAGCCGTTTATTATCAGTAGATGCTCTATTCTATAAGATAACATGCGATTATCACGATGTTGATAAATATCTTGTTTATGCGTAAAACGTGAATAATCAAATTTTCCTATTATAGCATATTTTCTAGTAAAGATAGAAATCACAGCTGAATCACTATTGTTGATATGAGTGACTTCGACGTTTTTTTTACCACGACATGACGTTTTCTTATTATTCCGTACTCATTACTCAATTTAAGGTCAGGACACACAGAGGCGGTACTGCGGGAAACGAATGCGTACGGGGGGTGCCCGAGCCACACAGTCCCAAGCGTAGTTCGTAGGTCTTATCGAATAATTAAGGCTCAACTCACACTGCTGCACTCAACTATAACGCATAACGACGCACGTCGTGCGCGACGACACTCGCATTAGCGCGTCCGGATCACAGTGTGGTCGGCGTCTGACGCCGCACTGCACGGTGACGCGCGAAACTGCTCGACTTTAGCCAAGCGTCTCAACGCGCGAAGTCCGGGATTCCATAAATGCATGACACAAATTTGACCTTAATAATGGGAAAATAGAGATGAATATGCTATAGGCGAAAACATGACGCGACTCTTCACCAGTGTGAGTTAAGCCTACGGGCGCGTGACCGCTCTAAGAAAAGTCGCCGGGTCTATGCAAGAATTCATGACCGTCAGGATGGCTGGTCGCCTGTTGCATCTGACACTGAGTGTATATTCAAGAATTGCTATCTATTTGCTACTATTTGCTACCTTTTATAAATAATTGCTACCTTTGATATATTCTGAGATTTCAAAAAAATAATTGACTAGCCATTCTGACGTCAGGATAGCTAGTCGCCACTTTGTTCAGCATGAAGGGAGCAGAGTTTCCGGAAGTATGTGTTACCAATAATTGCTACCTTCACGAATTAAAGGTATACGCTTCCTATCTACATTAGTTAAACAAATATAAACCATTGAAAATTTTATGAGCGGAATTTTACGGACTCGACGGCAAGACCAGGGTACAGCGGACGTCTGCCCCAAGCCCTCCGCCAGTGATACGACTTTGCGACAGTGAGACGCCCGTCTCTGGCAGACCCGGACTTGGGTATGGACTCGCTGGAGTTTGTGGTTAGCGGCAGAGACGGACATGTTTGTCTGCCCCAGTTTTGAATGTGTCCGGAGCGTCTGTCTCGTGAGCAGCTAGCGCGTCTTAGTAGCGGTCTAGTTGAGGGCTTGAAGCGAGGAGATGCGCGGGTCACGCGAATTGCCCTTGAAGTTGGAAGCTATGTCCGGACATTGTCGAAGGACACTGCGACTGGCATCTCCGGCACTAGCTCGGAGAGCTAGTAGAGGATAAGCTAGATATCCTCCGGTCCCTCCAGCCGCTTATTGGGAACTGGAGAGATGTCGTTTTTCGGCGTCGGGAAGTGAGTGTGCCTTACAGCTCCGCCACCAATGAGAAGATCTGGTAGTGAACTCAGAGTCGACGGCCTAGCGGTGCCAACTGCTAGTTGTGCAATGCGCAACGGGAAGTGAGCATGCCTACAGCTCAGGTACCTTGCTGAAAAATAGGGAGGGTACTGTACGTGCACCCGGGGCGACTCACACGAGGCACTAGCCTCTCGAAGAACCGGATGAAGTCAAGTGACAGAGGTCTGTGAGAACCCTGTACACTGGCTGATCTAGGGTCAGAACCTGAACTTGTAAGGTTCCTGTGCGCGCACAGGTTATAGTGTTCTCCTCGTGGGTCACTATAATCAAAACTAACGTAAAAAGATATGGTGCTTGTCCCGGTGTGAAGAAACGCCTCAACCTGAAAAGGATCCCAAGCTTCCTTGCTGCATGTATAGCTATGGATTCAATGTATTTGCCGAAGTACAAAT